ATATTTGCCCTTCTCCACCTTATTATTGCACGTTATCAGCACACCATTGTCCAGCTGGATCACTATCATGAGTGACAGTGTCCTTTGTCATTCAAGGATTTGATGTCAAACAAGAGAGACATTTTTGCAACCAGAAATGCCCTCTTGATCTCTCAACCTCTGATTTGTCGTGTCTATTAACTGAGACAAAGTCCTGCATGATTAAAATGTTTGAAAATGTAGATGGACTGTCGCTTCTCAGTCCCCGTAATGTCAAAGTTGTCTTTGCACTGGTCCGTGAAAGCTTTGGGATTCGGCATCCACGTCTAAGCTGCATGCTGCTGACTTGTATTTGCAGGAAGACAACAAATTGATGAAAATACAGTTCAGGCAGTAATCTCATGTCAACATGTTGGAACAATAACTTACGCAAGCTTCTAAATAGCAAAGCTGTTACCGTGCTAATGGACGTCCACCGCAATCATGTCAGAGCAGAGCTTCCACTAAACGGTCATACAGGAGAAGCTGTTCCACATCACAGCAGAGGCACTACAGCTTCATGCTTTATCAGTCTCCTGTCAGTAAAACCATATCATTGTTGTCAGATGTAAATGTGTGTGAGGATGATGGAAAATAGCTCAGTGTGTGTTATATTATTTCAGCCTCAGTGTGTGTGTTCCTATTGCATGAAACAACAGGTGCTCCAGCAGAAGTTAAGCAAGCTACAACAGACCAGAGGCAGCTCTTCAGCCAGGTATTCAATCTTTCTTTCTTTCTTTCTGCTTTTCTTTCTTAATCATATTTTCATCATATTAACCTCCAACTCTCCACAGATAGATGCTGTGTGCTCATCCTACCTCTCTGCAGACATTAAGCTTTGGGTGAGTGACGTGTGATTCTGTCCGCCTTGTTTTTGTTCTTTGTCCCTTATTATTTTACAAAAAGCACTCTCAGTATATTTATTTTATTAGCATTTATTTCAATTTTTTTTTATTCCAGGCATCTGATGTCTTAGCAGAGCTATGTGTCATGATGCTGGTTCAGAAGTCAAAGGTATTTCACACGGTCTCAAAAGCTTAAGTGCTACATATTTTCCCACATTCCACATGAAATGACTCTTGCGAACATAGACAAATGACATAGTGTTTTTTTCTCAGGAGCTGGAATTTCAAGAAAAAAGTAAAAGGGTAAGTACAATTTAGGTTTCTGCAACTACTGTTTCCCCTGAAATGGTTAGACGAGACCAACATGGACATTAAACCATGTTGACTTGTTTGTGTGTTTTTGATTAAAGAAGTTGTTTGACCTAAGAAAGCACCTTAACCACAGAGCTATTATATGTGAGGCAATAAAAGAAGTATCCACATTGTATCTACTGATGAAATGTGTGCAGGTACACAACCACAACGACTGTGCTGTGTGTATACACGAATACTATACATGCACACGCACGCACACATGCACGCACACACACACACACACACACACACACACACACGCTCACACACACACACATGCACACTCTCTCAAACCTTATTTCTTGATAGCATGAGTACTCTGCCCCCACTCTCTCTCTCCCTCTGGACAACACACACGTCAATCAAGAAACAGAGGAAAAGTTGCAGAAATACTACAGTGAGACTTGTGTGCAAAAAAATGGATTGAAAATCAAACCAAGAAGTCATGTATTGGATTAAAACGTCAAACTGAACGATGAAAAGAGATGTTTTTCTGCTGCTGTGATAAAGTATAGTAAACTGTTTACTTTCTCTATATCATCAGACTTCATAAGAAATACGTTGTGATCATTATCACGTCTTTAGTGTTTATTATCCGTTAAGCTCATCCGAGCCTTCAAACCCACAGAACATCCCTGGACACACATTCACTTGCCACAACAAAACATATTCCTTTAATAACAACAAAGAGATTTTGTCCTGTTCTCGTCCATCACCAGTATGTGAAATAATGCATAACGTTATCTGTTTATGAAAACACTGACCCTGAACAAACTGCTGCCCTGAGGACATATTTTTAATTATATTTACATCTCTGTGTTGCATGTTCTTTTGTGTTGCCTGTAACAGTTTCACTCTTTGCCTCTGCACACGCCACACTCAGCAATGTATTTATGTTCGTGTGGCTCTGTCTCTGTGTGTGTTTGTCAGACCACTCTGTTGCACCCTCTCCTCCATCTCGTTTCCCAACTCAGCATCAGAGGAGAGAGAGGACTCTCGATGCGCATATGCATCACCCTCATCAGTTCCCCTTTCACTCTCCATCTTCTGTTTTCAGCCTCATGAAATAATCGGATGGATGGAAACAAAATCAAGATGTTTTGTTTTTCAGCATACAATATACTACTATACATGCAAAAACCTATATTATACTGTCATTAATACTGATTTAAAATATGCAAAATGATTAGTTAGTGAATGTATTCAACTGTCATCCTTGGTTGAAAACATAGAAGCAGCAGTTGGCTAAAAATACAATTGCAGCCTTTAAAGAAGACACAGAGTATAGCACTTTGTTTTTGGCAAATATTGAAATGTGTGCGCTGCATTCTGTAGTTGCTTTCAACACGTGTTTTGCTCTTCCTGAGCTTACATGTCAATAACACTGTTTGACACGGGGCACCTCTGCTCACTCTCTGTATGAGCTTCATTTGTTGTTCTTCCCCACACTAGAAATAATTACGGTCTAAAATTAGTGCAGCTGACAGGTGAACTTATCCCCCATTGCTATCAACCACTGACATTCACAAAGTAAACAGAGGAATTGTGAGCGAGACACGTGGAGTGTGTCGGCTTTGGAAAATCCAGATGTGAAGTGTAGGTGTGTGTGTGTGTTGTTGGCTTTTGCTGCTGTGCTGTACCGACCCATAAAGATTCTGTGGTTCTTCTGTCTATACAGGCTGAACTCCAGGGACCTGGTGGAATCCAGAGCAGAGGTTACTTTCTCTATCGGGTATGAACATTTTTCTGTCAGGATGAGAAATAGAAAAAAGCCCATTGATGATATGTTGAACAGAAATAATACAATAAAAATAATACAATTTTGTTTGCACTTGCAGCCACGAAATGGAAGACGATCCTTAGAATACGAGTAAATTAAAGGTAATTTTCTAAACTTGTGTTTTTAGTTTGTTGCTTTCTAACTCAACATTCATTCATTCATGTTGTCTTAAACAGACAAATATAATGGCATTTGAAATATTCAGGGGCTGTATGCAAATTATTAGTTTAAATTTTTTATTAGACTAAGGGAAGGATCATTACTTAAACAGACTTTTTTGCAAGGCCTTTTTATATAATGTTAAACTTGCCAAATTAGTTACAACCACATAGGATCAATAAAAATAACATTTATTTCTATTTTAAGTTTTGCTGTATTGACATAGCTTACAGTAACATGTACACTTGTTTACTTACCAGTCTAGAAGAAAGGTTCATCATCAAACTACTTTCCAAAAAACCTCTCCAGCAGAGGAAAGCCACAACTATGTTTTGCTTCTAATTCCATAATGTAGTGCTGCTCAGAGGATGAATAATAAACTCTTGTGCTGTAAACACAACAAGGGACCCTGACCATCAACCACTGATGGCAGGCAAACATGTCTGACATCCAAGAAAACTTACAAATTGTCACTTTAAGGTCCGAAAGATCTTTTATTCAAGTGTTTAATGAGTTGTACCAATTTAATTGTTGTGGTTATTAATAAACATGTTTTGAGATACTGAGATGGAAGTTACTGCACTTTCTTCATTGGAGCGGGTCCAAAAGAAATAGTAATAATGCTGAGGAGGCCCCACTAAAAACAAACAATACACTGCATCCCTCCTTCCCACCCAGTAATTTTCATGCAATCCCTAAAATCTTGTCACTACCCTTATGACGTGGTGGTGACTTGTAGAAAACAATGTCAGAGACATGTCAGTATGTGTGTTCTTGCTTTCCTCTAATAATGTGTATAAATGTTTCATAGTCTCCACCTCTGAAGCTACGTGTAAAGAGACAACACCAGACAGCAAGACCCGAGCTGCTGCACCACGACTGACTGATCCAGACTGTGACCACAGCCCTCTGCCACTGCTGTATAGTGATGTCTGAATGTACACAAATAATATGATTCAAATATGAGTCATTTGTCCAGATTTTATTTTGTGTTATATGGTTGTCATTTGCATTAAAATGCTGTAATGTGGTCATGTATAACCTTGGATTTTGTTGCACATTGAGTTTTTTTTACTGCATTTGGAAAAGATTAAACAAAGTGGTGTTTGCATATATGGAGTTACATTGCATATGTGCATTGAATTGAAACGTCATCAGGTATATTTAAACCACAATAAAAGCATTTGTTTGACATAAAATGCTGTGTGAAGAAAAGGGATACACATGCTTAAAAAATAAATTTTATTAATGATTAAAACTAAGAGGTGAGGAATGACAAACCGAACAATTAAAGCAGGCCATTAACTAACTCAATAAAATATAATATCAGTAATATTAGGACTGACTTTGTTTTTAGTTGGTTGAAACAACAAGCCTAATGTCTCTTTTAAAATGCATCTAATAGATTTTCGATGTAACTACAATATTGATCAGGTTTTCTTTCTTTATTAATGTGTCTCCTTCCAGAATTTCTGACTGTAAACATAAATAAGTGTTCAATGACGCTATAAAAACAGGAGCATGACTGTAATTACTATCATCAACAGTAGGTGTCGCAATTCTCCACCAGTTGGCTTCTCATTCTACCACTTCCCTTGTGGTTAAAGTTTTATTTATTTACAGAATAACACAAGATGATATTGGCCGTTTAAGATTCAAATGATAATCCTCTTTCTTGCATTGCACATCCACTGGAATAATTAATCAGATGAATGCTAAAAAAAATGTTGATTTGTTCAGATGCCTGCACTGATAACTCTGATCTCAACCCAACATTACAACCTTTATCCAACTCTGACACATGCATTTTGCTTGCAAAGCTGACAGATACAGTATAAATACAGTTTGAAACAGGCACTACATGGTATAGAGAGACAGATCATTATAATTTTATGTATCGGTATCCAGAGTTCTCGGATGGTTCAGCTGCAGCACAGCAAACCACCCACCACTGAATGGGAACAATTTACAGACCAGGACATTATTCTCTGTGTCACAACATTCTAATCCAGATGGAGCGCTGAAGCATTTCCAGCCACAAAGTGTGATTTGACCACAAACCACAATACGTGTTTTCTCTGGGAAGTTTTAATTAGTTTTAAAGTGTTTGGATTTTTGATCAAATTAATTCAATAAACTACGTAGTACATATTTATGGCTGACTTCCAGATAGTTTCCTATGAGCACACAGAGTAAATCATATCGCCTGAGAACAGTATCACTGACTGAACTGGAGAATCACCACAGGATTAACAGCAAAATATTTTGATCAGTTCATCCACACGCTATTGTTCCAGGGAGACGTGAATGTAAAATCATACAATAACAAATTACATTGGATGGATGAAACTGATGTAACATTAGAGGTTGTATGCAAAAACAGGTGTAAGAGTATGTTGTTCAGCAGAATAAAACCCTCTGCTCCCGCATCTTCAGAATATAATTAACATATGAAGGAATATGTAGGATATAAAACATAAAGATGGTGCTACATGTTCATGGTGTATCACCTTTTTCTTTTTAATCCCCCCTCGCTAAAATGTCGAAACAGCGCCATCCGCCCCTTGCCTCTATCGATGTGGCCAAAAACAGTATTGCAGCTTTTCCACCTCGGCTGTTGCCATGGTGATGAGTAACACGCCGGAGACGGGGAAACAAAACAAATGGATGGAGAATGAATCCTGAAGACCCTCAGATGAAAAGCAGCGTGGAGAACTACCTCATACAAATATGAGTTCAATTTGTTGCCAACGAAAACAACCACTGAAATAAGTGTATTTACAAAAAGGCATAACCCCAGGTAGATTATAAACATGTTTGTTTTGTATACGACATGGTACAATAACTACAACAATTAGAATTATAAACCTGCAAAGGAATAAAATATCTTCCTAATGGCATTTATGAATAATGTGGAGTTTGTCCATGTAAGAGTCTAGAACAAAAATATAAGAATTAAGAATCTGTGTGATTTTTTTCATGTCACTATTGATTGAATGTAGAAAACTACTTTAAACAGCAGAGTCCACGTAATGAGGCCAAACAGGCATAAATGATCTTTATCATGTTGTTATATATGATTTATACAACATTTGCCTCCAGAGAGGGGAACACGTTACATTGGACAAGTTATCAACAAGTTATTCTGAAGTGTCATTTGCAGGTTTTACACTGTAAAAACAAAAATAAATGACAAATATCTATGGGAACACAAGGTGGGGACCTGAGTGTGTGTGAGAGCTGATGTCGGAGGGACGTGTGTGTGATCTGGAGCACGGCAGCGGGCCCTCTCTCCTCTTGGCTCCTGTTCCAGCTCCGGTCCTCCTGCCTCAGCCCTGCGCAGTCCTCCGACAGCAGCGCCACTGGCTGCAGGGATATCCCGGTGAGAGGGGAGGCAGCTCGGGGTAAGTGTGACATCTCGGACCGCTGAACTCCGTTCCGTGTTCGTTTCGCATGTATCTGCAGCCTCTCCTTGTGCCGCTGTCGGGCGCAAAGCCGCAAACGGGGACACTTGCGCTTTTGCCTGTTTGGGGACAGAGACTGGCCAGAGGCCCGGTGACCCACATTCTTACCTAATGCTGGATGTTAGCTTAGCTAGCTAGCTCCGGCTGAAGTGGGCTGACACACATTCGCTGCGCTGGTGCAGGCGAGTTGAACACTCGCTGTGTTATATATTGTAAAGTCGTGATTCGGCGGGGAAATGACGCCTGTGTGATTTCTCCCGGACAGAGGAGCATTGACAGTGTGTGTCTCGTGTCGCAGTGAGTGTGTTAAACTAGAAAACTGTTGTTTTGTTTCGGTAATTGACGGTAGCGTGTAAGCTAGGTGGCGTTAGCCTCCTAGCAATCAGTGCCCGGCTTGCCGGCCGGCATCAGCGGCAGCGGGCAGACTGCTGCTCGGTGGAGGGTTGGACCCTGGTTGGACCCTGGTTGTACCCGGGCTGCTCACGGTCAGGCTGGCTGTGGCTCAGGTGACTTCACACACTTCTCACCGGCTCAGGCTTCTCCACGTCTGCCGCCTCTTTAGAAGGGTATGTCTGAATTTTTTTTATCCGTGTTCTTTACTCGATCTGTGTCAAATGCGTTTCACTCCAGATCTCCAGCCGTGTGTGCTCTGTGTGTTCTGCTGCTGCTCATGCACTGTTGCACCTGTCTGCTGTGTCCAGTCAAAACACGACATGTTGTTTGAGAGGTGTTGGATGTGGACCGGAGTCATATGGTGCACCTGGTGCGATGCCTCGATGCGGTCTGATGTGGAGATAACTATCCGTGCACCAGCCACATGTATGCGAAACACATGTGCAAGAGTAGGGGCTGGTTTGTGTTATTGAAATTAAATTGAAGTTTGGTACTGACATATAATCCGAATGAGATGCCAGGACGAGATCTATTTAAAACAAGAAGCAGACATGGCCATGTTATGTCTCTGATTCAAAGTCATGTTGTTTCAAAGTTTGGATGACAACTCAGACTTTTTTGTTTCAGACATAATCTTCTAAGTTTCTCAAAGCGAGTAAAAACAGCTTCAGTAATAAAATGACATTAGAATCCCATTCTAATTCAATTAGGTTTGTACGATCAATTCATAATATCATGTGATGTGGCTTGGTACACAACCCAACTCAAATTGATGATTTTCAGTTATGCCAACTGTTTCATCTCAAATCTGGTTCAGCCTGATGTTTGTTGCAAGATGAAATCTTTTACACAGAGTTAATTAGTATAGTAAATTTAATTGGTTTTAAACTCATTGGACTCTTTTTACACCCAGTGTTTTGAAGGTTATTTGATAATATTCAAGCAATAAGTCAACATGTATTATATGCCATTAATGATTATTATTTGACTATATTTCTGATTGATTTTCTAAATACATGAGAGTGTAGGCTGATAAATAATTCTCACTATCGTGCTGACTAACAACTTATTTTTTAATCTAGGGTATATCTATATATAGGGTATTTTTGCAGCTTGCTTGGCCCTATGTGATTATGAATAATTAAACTATTTCTATAGAGAGTGGTACTTTCTAAGAGGCCATTGCTAACTAATAATACCTTTCAGGTGTATTTGTAAACATAAGACATTTAGTAATCAACCATTCAGACTTGTTGGAGCAGTCAGTGGAGCATAGAAAATGACTTATGATGAGAGTAGGTGTCATTCTTAAACAGCAGAGAGAAAATTGGAAGCTGAGCACTGGCAAGTCTGTTTTGTTACAATAGAGGAGGGACGGACGCCACCATCAGGAATGAGAAAGGGAGAGAACACTTGAAAATAACATTAATACATGTTACACGTTATAGTATTGGCTTGTCATGTCAGCTTTTTCCATTACAGAGAATTTGATACTTTCTTAATTAATTCAAGATACTGACAGTCTTGTGGATGTGGAATTTAAGTTTCTGTGCACCATGTAACTGAAATTAAAATTCACTGTCCTGGTACTTAAGTATTTTATGTTGTTTGATGTCTGTTAGATCAGTGACATTCAGTTTTTTCTTCCAGATGTTACTGTCTGCACATTTAGAAGATTGCATGCAACTTCTTTGTTACAGACTGTTCACTATTACTTTATAATTTCTCCTTTGAACACAGATCTGCAGTGAAGAAAACATTTTAATGAGCCTGCTTATAAATATACAGACCGTAAGTTCCTGATATTAAGAGTAGAAATAATAATACATTCTACTGGGGTGCCTTTGCTGTTTGGATTTCCTTAGCTCTTAGAAAGAGTACTTCTGGACAGCAACATTAACTGCCAGAGAAATGAAAGGATCTGTTTTGTGGTACTGACCTTTCTCTGAGTGGATTCATCTCACAGATTTTGTCAGATATGATGTTGCAGTGATTGTTGTTGCACTTTTAAACTAGTGAAAATGGGTTACTGCATGAATGGCTGAATATATTAAACTGGACAACATAATCTGGATGCATGATACACACAAACACTATAATGGCACTCAGTCTTACAGGCCCCTTCAAGCTGCCCCAAATTTCACACACTCGAAGATATACAATTCTTAGATGTGCTTCCTGTGTGCAGGGAATAGTCATACATTTTCTCAACTCTGTCGTTTTTACCAATACAAAGACTACAATAATGTCATACTGTACACTCCTCCTGTTGTATCACTCATCTAAATACTGAAAATGTAGATAGAATTTTAAAGGGTTGTTTTTTGCAACAAAACACAGAACCTCTGCTCAACAAATGTGACAAAGCCCATCATTTAACTGGGTCTCAGTGCATGTAATTGCTCTTTCTTATGCTCCATGAATATTACACACTTTACATTACGCAACCTTTGTGTCTTTGTGTTACGCTCAGTGATAACTACATGTTGTTTGCTTCAATAGGAAGTTGTGTGTAGGGTTTTGTTTTGGTCATTTAACTAAAATTAAGGTAGTAAGACATAAATTCACATGATTTGTCACCTTTAATATATGCAGTACCTGAGACAACAATAGCAGGAGACTTGCTTAGTGTTGTTTCTTGTATTGAAAAAACGTTGACCTACATGGAGAACAAGGGCAATTGAAAACTTTCTTAGAACGATCCTATCTGATTTTTACTATGATAAAAAAAAAAAATGGGTAAAGTCTTTTTGGGGGGATAGCATCATTCTGATCTGTAAAATCAGTGTTGTTAGCAAGTGCTTAAATTAGTCATTAGCAAATGAATTTGTTGCTGCAACTATTGTTGTAAGGAAAGATGTGTTTTGTTTTCGTGTGAAAGAACATAATATGTTTTCTGCAGAGAGACACCAGAAACTAGTGAGAGTTACATCGGCAAATGATACACATAGATATTCCTGAAAAGATGAGCTGTGGCTGTCAGGTGGTAATACTAGAACTTAAGAAATAATGAAAACAATTTAGGGTTCAGTATCTTTCCATTCTGCTTTGCAGAATTGAGAAGATGGGGATTGAACTGTGGTCAGAGGACAACCCGCTCTACCTCCTGAGTCCTTTTTATACAATATGAGCACACAACATAACATACCTTAACACCACTTTTTCTTATAATGAGACAAAGTAATACTCAGCTTTATTAGACGTGATTCTTAGAGCAGATGCTTGTGTTGACGTTTCCTGGAAGTAGTTCCCCTTTCCCAGATGACGGCAAGGAGCTTGTGAGTGAGTGAGTGAGTGAGTGAGTGAGTGAGTGAGTGAGTGTGTGTGTGTGTGTGTGTGTGTGTGTGTGTGTGTGTGTGTGTGTGTGTGTGTGTGAGTGAGAGTGTGTGAGTGAGTGAGTGAGTGAGTGTGTGTGAGAGATCACCCACATGTTTTACTTCTGATTTAATAATGTGAGTTTCTTTGCAATTATCTGCTGCTCATTTGTAAATGTAGCTTTTCTCTTCTTGTTCAACAGGTGAAGGATTCAAATAACTTCACTGATATCCGTCATGAGGTGAAGCATATAGCGAATCAACCTTCACTCGAATACAAAGGTGAGACGTCTTGGAAATGATTTACTGGATTTTGCTCTTGGTTGTGGCAGTGGACTGGGTTGTGCTGATGAAGCTGTGTGAAGCTTAATTCTTCAGTACATACAATATTATCTAGTGTGAAGTTTGATGAAATATATTTTGAGTTTGTTTCAACAACAGTCTGCAAAATGTCACTAGATAATCAAACGTGTCAAGGTATAGTTAACATGTTTGAATAACATGAAAAGCAATGGAGGGAAAGTTTTCTATCGGGTGGTACTTCATGAGGAAATTTGGAACTTCAATCAACTGTTGGGTATTAAGAGGAACAACTGTTGTAAAGAGTGACAGTGGAGATTCAGACTTTGCATAGCAGTTGAATTTTTCTTTCAAGGATTTCTATTTATCCATCAATAGCAGAATAGAAACAGGATATGAGCAAGAGAGCTTGCAGAAGTGCAGCGATGCACCACAAACATTGCCTCTCAGAAGCAGAGGAAGAAAAGGCATCAGTAAGAGTATGATGAGCTGCAGGGGGTTCATATAACCAGGAAGGAAAAGATTATTTCCAGGAGGAGGAAAACATGGTTTTCCAAGAATAACTGAGAACAGAGCTTCATACCAAGATGTCAGCCAAAGGTATGAAACCAACGTCATCACAGTCAAATAGCAGGCTGATGACCTTCAGCGTGAGCTCGACAGGGAAATCAAGTCTCATGCAGACGAGGTGTCACAGCATCTGCTCTCTGTCCAAAATCTAAAGGCTGAACAGGAAGCCTGTTGCCAAAAGACATCAAGGAGAAAAACAAGCCTCTATTAAAAGAGCTGGCGATAGTTGGAAGTTCATACCAAGAGGACAGCTAAAGCAATTAAGCTGTTGTCCTCAGAGTGAGGCAGCAGGCTGATAACCTTCAGTGTGATATTGAGAAGGAAATCAAGTCTCAGACATGCTAACAAAACCAGCTTGTGGCAAAACCTGAAGACTAAGCAGGATGCCCGCTATCAAAAGATGTTAGAGAAGATCCAAACTGTGCCAAAAAAATGCTGCCGAGCGGTAAATGCTTTTGGGGAGAGAGGTGGAGGAGCTGAAAACTCTATTAATCTTAAGACTGAGAGAGAGGGCAATCAGCCTCCCAAGAAAAACCAGCAGTCAGGAGGAGTGTGAGGAGAAGCAGGAGGATAAGTCTGAGAATGAGCCTGCAGTTAAGAACAAAACATACAAGCAGCAGGAGCCGCTCCTTAATGCTCTCCCTGATCCTGAATCCATGGAGACTGAGGTGCCTGAGGAGATCCCCACCAAAACAAAGACTGCTTCAATCTTGAAGTCAGTCTGACACTGTCTGGGACTGAGGACAACCACAGAGATAGAAAAAGCCTGAGGTTCCTCCATCCAACAGCTGAAACTGATCTGTCTTTCCCTCCCTCACCCACTGTGAGACAACTGTACTTTTTATATCTGCTGTGAAAAAGATGCATGTAATGACACATGAGTTAAACCAGCCGTTCGAGGCAGATGACCGTCCACCCAGAGCCTGCTTCTGCTCAAGGTTTCTTCTGCTTAAGACGAGTTGTTCTTTGCCACTTTCGCCAAGTGCTTGGGGTAATGAATGCTGAGTCTAATATGACACAACAGGAAAGGCACAGGTGTTCACCAGGTGTTCACCTGCTGTGGTGTCAGCAAAAATCTCTGCTGCTGTGAAGAAGATGTATTTAATGACATCATGAGAGAAGAGAAAATGAATTCAGGTCATCTAAAGTGAGTGTAAGAGTGTGTGGAGCAAATTTCCTGCATATATTGCTGTACATGTATGTCTTTAATAAAGATTCTACATTAGGAAGTACAGTTTTTACTCATATGTGTATTTCACTTCATCAAGTCAAATTTAGCCCACAAGATTCCCAGTGATGTCTTATCATCTTTGTTCAAAGAAAATATAAATACAAATGAAAAAAAATATTTCAGACTTACAGAAACCAATGTGATGTTTAACCACCAGATAAAATTAGTAACAGTTGGAAACTTGGAGAACAAAGCATAGTGATAATAATTGTAAACTGCAGGATCGATGTACTGAAGTAAAATGAATTTGTAATATTTGAGGAGAAATCTAAATGAAAGATATTACAAACCTTCACCAAACATGCAAATGTTTGGTTGGAATATAATTAAAACACTGTGGATGTTTGAGCATTCTCATCATAAACCCTGTATGAAGTGGTAGTCGTAATAAAAAAATAAATAATAATATAACATCTGTAATCAAGCAACAGAGGGGGGATACATACCTATATCAGTCATAACCATTTTAGAATGCCAAAATGCTATTTCATACATGCCGTCATTATTGCAGTCAGGCCAAATGATGACGAATGATTGTTTGTTATTTATAAACTGTACATCGTGTCTTTAATCTTAGAGGTTGCAAGAGTTACTTCATTGCTACTGTAGCAATACCTTCAAAGATTTACACACACTAACACACAGGATCAAAAATAATCCTGTTTCTAGAAATGGTGGCACGCCGGGTAGTAATTACAGGCTGCGTAGTGTTAAGTGCGAATATGGTCAAAAACTACAGGAGAACTAGAAGAGAAGACATCCCATAATGAACAGCTGTATGCATATTGCAGAGACCCATTTAGAAGTAGGGAGGGAGTGTATGAGTTTGTGAGATCTTCATGATGAATGGTGGTTGTGGCCAACTATGGCAGCGCTGTCTTTAACTGAGATTAAGTGCAGTCGGTAAATTGTGATTGTGGTCTGGACAAAGTAGGTTGGGATTTCCCTGACACATTAATCCGTGGAAAATTATATAATGACTTCTCAGGAAGCCCTCTGGTATAGGTCAAGGCCATATGGTCATATGTTCACATAGAGAATGTCAAGTAAAGGTGTCAGTTATATTTGGGTTTCAAATGTCTCAACTTGCTCAGAGCACTACTGCTGTTTATCGAGAGAACAAATGTCACATACCATAATTAGCATTAAGATTTGTTGGTCACGTTTTGTTCATACATGGTTTTAATGCGTGTAGGTCTATATTCAGTCTTGATTGCTTCTGTGTGTTATCAGTCGTCCTTCTGAACTTCAGTGACCTACTTGGCATCAGTATAAGGCCCCTGGCTCAGTTCCTGCTCTGCTGGGACAGGAGGCTAGCAGCAGCGGAGGGGCCCCTGCCAACCACCGCTGCTTTGCTCTCATATATTCCTGTCTGTGGGCTGTGGAGTGAAAAGACAAAACAAAGGCTCCTTTTGTGCCGCTGCTAGTTCTGTAGATGTGTTTGCATCGAGTGGAAACACAGCTGGCTGCTCAGCGCTGAGGGTTTGGCCCGACTGTGCAATAGTGTGGCGGGCAGTGTTCACAAGCTTGTGTTGTAGTTATTTTTTTAACTTACGAGAGAAATGAACATGACATTATTAAACCCAGTCATCAGGAAACAGCAATTCTTGGAAACTGAGGGGAACACATCTGTGGATGTGCAGGTCTGGATGCTGTCAAAGACACGATGACTGAGTTTTACATGTTTTTGTTTATTTGTGTGATGCCCCTGACAATGAGTGTGTTGTTTGCCGGATGTTAGAAACTACAAGACAAGATCTGATTGAACACCCCTCTCTTCCTCATCTCCTATGAACCTGAGTACAAAGTCTGCTTAATGATGCTTTCTACCAGCTCCTGTGTGTTTTTAAGTTTTCAATGGTTGACTGAATTTGTCCTCCTAGAAATCATGCAAACACTGTGGTGTATGTTGTGACACCTGGGATTGTTGAGGGTACACAAATCCTGTGATACAAAACCCACCAGACAGAACTGTCTACAGAGAAGGATTAAAGTCTCATAGATTTGAATTATATTATTGTACACTGCTTGTAGATTTGGGTCTGGACTTTCTCTGGACTTATAAAGAACACAGCAAGAGATTCTCTGGGTGCAGCAGGCTCATGGCTGGACATGACATGAACATTCTGCCTCGGACATCACACATTTTGTTTACAGTCCATCAACACCAATGTCGGCCCTTATCACCAAAAGCTCTCGAATCTCATCTTTCTCCTTCTTCGTCTTCTTTGTGTATGAGATATTTTTATTAGTTTTGTTCTTACTACTTTTGCCTCTGTCGCGTGTTAGAAACATTACCAACACACAATTCTTCAGACGTTGTCCTGCTGTATTGGTAGGCATTAAGATTTTAAAGAGAAGTGGACAAGCAAACCTATAATGCTGTTGCCTGCCTCTGCATTAAGTACTGCTGCTCCAGCCTTTGCATATCAACAAGTAGTTTCAGCCCTCCCTCATTACAGTGGTATTCCAATACCCAGTGATATTATCCTTTTCAGTGGAGCACAAAAACACAAAAGCTGTATCCATTGATGACTTGTCTGTGGTTTAGTTCTGGATGTTTGCTCGGTTTGTATAATATGTCGCCTGTTATCTGAATTTCTGAACTGATTCATTAGTGATATCGAGGTCTGCTGTATTCTTTCTTTCATCACCTAATTCCCTTATTATTTCTCCTCTGTGTGCGGCGTCTCCTAATATAATAGTAAGAAAATCTGCTTCATAATAGAAGGAGTTGCTTGTTTGTCATTGGCTCCCTCTGAATGATGCAGCACAGCAATGTTTACATGACGGTTGTCACTGCCGAGCTACACCAGTTGACCTGTCAGTCTTTCCCATTGCTTGTGACAAAGTGAGAAACTCTCTTGTAATAGGTCTGTGTATGATGGCGGCAGAATCAGCTGTGAAGGAATTCAGCCAGGCTATTTTTACTCCGAACGATGAGGCCAGTTGCTATGGTGTTGCCCATTGGCACCGTTGCTATGCTGGCATCTCAGTGAGGGGTGCGGTGGGGTGCGTGACGAGCGGCGCCATAGATCCACTTCAGAATGACTCATTTCCTCAGAGCTCTGCTGCCCTACATATGAGTATTCATGCACACACCCACATACACAAACTCAGAGACAATCAACAATGCTGTGTGAGCAATAGAAAAAATATGATAGAACAGTTCTCAGAATGTGACTTGACGTATTTCAGGACCTATTTACACGCAATGAATACGCAGCATGTCTGAGGTGTGTTCATTTGAAAACGTCTTCTACTCAACATGGTTGACAAAAAACCTAAAACTGGAAAGAGCTGTTGGAAATTCAGCACCTGCACTGTTTTTTTTCATTGACGTCTGTCTCTGCTGAGGCTTAGGAAACACCAGGAACCCTTTGTATATCATGTGATCAAATGAGGACATTCTGAAACCCGGCTCACACCTTTGTGGAAGTACCTGCTGTGTAAAATGTTGAGCTTCTGAATGGTTTGTGTTAACAGGGAGTACAGTGTTATTGGTAAAAACAGGAAGGTGTTGCCCGCGGAGCTGTGATTAAGTTAGAACGGAGGAGGAGGAGTAGGAAAGTAGGTCATTGGGCCAGCAGGTCACTGAAGCACCGATGACATCACAGTTATACAACCCCTGCTCTGGCAGTTACACAATGCTTGCTCCGTGCTGCAGCTCTTGCTGCAACCTCTGCTCATACACTACTCAGTGGCCAAAAATCTCCTCTCCTCTTTTCCTCTCTTATTTTGATCTCATTTCATTGATATCTTTATTTCATTTTTTACCTCCTGTGTTTCTCCTTGCCTATTTCAGTGTTTGTTCAACTGTTTGAGATGCTGTAGAGCAAAACTGTAAAAGTGTCCTTCTGTTTTCTCAGTATAAAGCCTACATATAAAGCTCTTCACTCTTTTTATAGTGCTGCCTCAAAGTGTAGTTGGCCGCTTGTGTTGACAAACATCTATCTTAGATTACACACCCATTTTCTGAAAGGCAATGAGCGGTGAAATAGCACTGTATAGTTAAAAGTTAATGGGCCATGGTAAAACCTACTCCTCCTTCCTGTCATTTCATTCCTTTGCATGTCCAAATATTAACAGTGCATGCAGTGCTAACACACCTCCCTTGTTTTGGTGAACCTGGCATTTCATCCATTTAAGCCTTGATTCAATTTACTTTTTTAGGTACGAAAACAACAGTCTGTGTGAAATGAGGTTTCCCCGACAGATCTCCTGTGTGCTGCCATTAAAGAAACTGATCTAGGTCAGTAGTTCATCTGGCTTTAAATATGTATTCATTAGAGATCTTCACATTAGTTTTTTTCCACTTTGAGTTAAAACATTTATTTGCTTCTTAAGTGGTTTCAAGTGCTGAAATGTGCAGTTTGTCAAAATTAAAATGTGGGCCTCCCCCAGTATGTGAATGTGGGATTATGCCAGTTATATTTGTATAACTAAGCGTAGGTGTCTTTATGCTGTTTGGCTTGAACAAATGTTGCTCACGATAACACACTTTGAACCCATGTATGGTATGAAAATAAATGTGAGTGTGTGCCATGATACAGGGGAAGCAACACTGCAGGGATTTGCTTACCATCATAAATAGGCTGATATGGTGAGAAAACCACCCACACAGGTTGTACCGGTAACTGGTTCATGAAATAAATGGGTCAGATATTTAGGCTAGAGACCCAGTGGGCCTTCTTGTTATAATTTGACAATCTATTGTAGACCTACCTGTGGAAGGGGAAGAATGGAGTCAGCGGATGGGATGAATACATTTGAAGTGATAGCTTGAACTGATGACTGGTGGATTTGTTGTTGACAATTCTATTGACTGTGGAAAGATTTTATCAACACAATAGCATTGTAACCGTTCAAGATATGAACATGAAACTTAAGAGTTGCAGTCCAAGTGAAGGCGGAGTGTTAAGATAGCTAAAGTCCAACTTATGAGTACTGAGTTCCTTTGTAATAATGTAGTAATGATTACTGTATACTCATGGGTTGGAATATCAACATGTTGACAGGCATCACAGCATGTGTGACGGTCTCTCTTTTCTTTTTTTCTCCCACACTTGTGGAGAGCATCATGGTGCCAATCAGGAAATGGCTGACAACTCCTGTATTCCTGTGTCAAGCTGTCCCTGCCTTTTGCCAGCTCTTCTTACCATAATATTAGATTGGTCTTGATTTAAGCCTGGCCACTGACGTAACAATATTCTTCCTGTATGTGTGTCTCACAGCTAACTTATACGTCCTTTAAACTATAATTAGCAAGTATACGTGGGATAATAAAACCTAGCCAATCCCATTAAAAAAAAAAAAAGAAGCAGATTATCTTAGTTTGCCTTTTTGTTTTTTCCCCCTGGTGTGTCATGTCTGACGTCACTAATGCACTGACAACTGAGGCACTCTCTGAACTCGCTGTTGTGCCAAATTAGCGTGTTCGCCCGGGTGTCTCATTTCCATCACTGCTGTTTGGATCCCAAAGCCAATAAAAACACCTGTCTACTGCAGAGTCATTTGACCTGGGAGTGAATGCTGCTTGAATCTATTCCCATTGCAGACCAAAGCCAGATGTTAGTTACCTGCTCCATGTGACCCAGAACCCCTTATCTTTTTCTCTGGACAGACAGACAACATTTGGCTTGTACCTTTTTCAAATGCAGCTTTAAAACTCAGACAGACTGCTGGATCAGTGAGCTTAGACTGGCTGCTAAAATGAAGATCTGCCACAGTACAGCAGGAGTCTGCTGGCCATCTGGATCTGTAGGACAGAATGCATCTGAATAAAAAGATATTCATTGCAGGCTCACATTTCACACTACAGTCAGCTTTACATATGAGCCCATCTATGGTCCACAGCCAGCCTCACTGTGGTACACTCTATTCTGCCTGTATTTGTCATGCAGAAGAACGGAGAAAGTCTATGTAAAAACTAAATCTGATGCACTATGTTTATTTTCATTACACAATTTAGCTTAACTTAACATGCCAAAATCAATACATGAATAACTTTGATACAAGAACTAGTCAATGAATCTTAATTTAGTACAATTTTAATAGATGTCACCATGATTAAGAGAAGTCTGGGGGAGAGGACGAATCGTGTAATGATGTAAACGTTCTTACTTGGATGTTTTCCAGACTAAAATCTGCAAAAATCTGATGTAGCAGGATGTCATGCTATGCTAAGCACCATATCTGTTTTACCCATACCTGGCATGAAACATTGCTGAAAATTACAGAAACTAAAGAAATAGATGAAAACAAAGTAAACATATAGTAGATAGATACTGTATATCAATACATACATGTTTCCTTATCTTCCATAGACTCGGATGTTGCTGCCATGTGCCACACTCACGCCCGAAGCAGACGAAAAACTGAGCCCAAACTCCTTTTGGCAACTTTCTACCCTCTGATTCAGGACACATTCAGTGCCTCTCCTCGAAGACTCTCAGACCTTTACCACCAGAGTGTGTCCACTCATACCCCCCCCATCCAGCAGCAACTTTCTCATCCTCTCACAGGACTGGCTGTGCTGGCAGTAAGGTAAAAATCTGGATTTGAATTTCAAAAATTTGAACAGTTTTAAAGTACTGAGCGATGATGAAACTGTTGACACCTTTTTTCCTCAAAGGTTCATTCACAAATGTCTACCTCACGATTAAAAGAGCCCTCTCCAACACGTCGACCCTGAACAGGACACAAAATGACCTCCAGCATTGACAGGTGCGTCAGATGTTTTGAGTTACCTGTATTTGGCTTTTTTTGTGACTCCAATGGCATTCATCCATCCAGCTTTCCTTTTCTAGTCCATTTGATAACTCAGTAACATCCTGAAGGACTTTCTTCAAATTTGGCAGGGGTTTTTGCTGGTACTCAAGAAGTAGCTTAACACCACTTTCCTATCTGAATAATACACTACAAGCAATGTGTACAATTCAGTATGATGTTTTGGTGATTAATGATTAATTATTTAGATGTGTTGTTCATCACAATTGTATTAGATTGAATATAGATCAATTAAATAATTTAGTTTCAGTACTAGATACTAGACTTTGAAGGACAAGGTATCTAAGCTCCTATCTGCTTTTGACACAATACAAACTTTGGATTCCATGGAATACTTTTATTCATAACAGGTTATGGAGGAATTAATACTAGCTTCAACTTTTGTCTTGTTGCTGTATGCCCTGCAGGGATGACAGTAGTATCTTTGATGGGTTAATGGAAGAAGATGAAAAGGACAAAGCAAAACGGTAAGATTCTCCTTAATATGATAATTTTAGTTTGATTGTTCAAGCTTAAGCTCAAGCTTGAGCAAGAGTACATTTAGAATGCACTTGCCCTGTCTAGCCTGACTATAAAGCAGGAGTGCAACAGACTTTCCCATGGCTCTATTGCTCAAGTGAAGTCTTTTATTCTAATACTAATTCTTGTCTTGTGTCGATGAAGTAGTTAATGTAGCTTCTACTAGTGCCAGACTATATAATGAAAATCTTAATCCTCAGTGTGTCGCGTAACAAGTCTGAGAAGAAACGCAGAGACCAGTTCAATGTCCTCATCAAGGAGCTCGGTACAATGTTGCCGGGTAACACCCGAAAAATGGACAAGTCCACTATTTTGCAGAAGAGCATTGACTTTCTGCACAAACACAAGGGTAAGAAACTGTGAGGATTGCTAGAAAACAGTTTGAGGTTAAACACTCTTCAGCTTCACCTAAATGTAAACATGTTGTATTTCTCTCTCACTAGAAATTGCTGCTCAGTCTGAGTCAACTGAGATCAGACAAGACTGGAAGCCTCCTTTTCTTAGTAATGAAGAGTTCACTCAGCTGATGTTAGAGGTGAGTTAGCTCTACTGAACAGACAAGAGTTTCTCCTTGTTGTATGCTTTCATTTACATGCAAGAATATGAGTAAAGTAAAAGAGTGTATTTTGTTCTGACAGGGATTGGATGGATTTTTCCTTGCAATTATGACTGATGGGAATATAATCTATGTCTCTGAGAGTGTGACATCCCTTCTAGAACATTTACCTGTAAGTATAACAAGCTTAAGTTCTGAATTTATGTTAAGAGGGGAGTGTCTGTTTTAAACCTGCCTGTTGACTTGGCTTGTGGTGATGCTGGTTGCAGGTTTTATTGTGAAACTGTAAAAGTAAGCTGCAGTAATTGAGACGTGGCAAGTGGCAATCTATATTACACCTATTATTTTAATATTGCACATATATATACTACAAATGGTTGGGGGAAATTGATATTTGTAATCACTTTTTAATGTGTTCTTATTACTCATGGCAATGGCCACATGTCAATTCTAAGTTAAATGATTTAAGATTAAACATTCATTAATGTTCATTGTGTTTCAGTCTGATCTTGTTGATCAGAACCTGTTGAACTTCCTGCCCATGGGGGAGCATTCAGATGTGTACAAGGCCCTGTCCTCTCACATCATGGAGGGAGAGACGCTGACACCTGAATATCTGAAGAGTAAGCGCTGAAGCTGTTTCATTTTGCCGTTATATTATATAACTGCTGTCAGCCAAGTGCGGGAGGTCTTGTGTTTCTCAATCACTGATCTTTTTTTCCAGCCAAAAATCAGCTAGACTTCTGTTGCCACATGCTCCGAGGGACTATCGACCCTAAAGAGCCCCCTGTGTACGAATACGTCAAGTTCATTGGAAACTTCAAGTCCCTGAAAAATGGTGAGTTACATGAAAAAAAGTGTCTGAGCCTGGAGGAGAGATTTTCTGCTTGCAAGGTCTAACTTTGTGCTCTGTGCTTGTCTTTTCCTAAGTGCCTAACTGTACCCGAAACGGGTTTGAAGGAGTGATCCAGCGATCACTTCACTCTGCCTTTGAAGACAGAGTGTGTCTCATTGCAACTGTGAGACTTGCCAAACCACAGTTTATTAAGGTGAGAGTCATTAGCTCCCTATTCTTTTAATTGTCCTTTCTGCTTTTTATTAGTTTGGCACACATTCGCTTTTCTGCTGCAGGGATAGAAAATTTTGTTTTAGTCAGGACAAGGATCAAGGGTAATATTTTCTCAATCACTCCAGGCAAACAACATTTGGACCCATGTCAGCTGTTATTTGCTGTCTCCTGTGGCCACTTTTATATGGTTTGAAAACAAAGAGGAAATCCTTTTTTCTCCTTCCCACTCTGTAAAATGTTTTTTCAAGCAGAGTTTTAGAAATGTACTGTTGATTTTACTTACAAGTCAAATAGAGTGTAGAATATAGATGAAACAATAACTCATAAATACATTGGGACTAAAACTAAGTCAGTGATTATTAGATACGTTTAATTTTGAATCAAAACGTGTGAGGCAAATGAGTGATGGACAAACAGCAGATGAAAGTTACTGTTAAAATGGACAACACCTTTTTAAGAGAGATAAACTGGACAATATAATGTTCAACTGGGCTCTTCAGCTTCAGTTCAGAACAACAATCACTCACATAATGACCTCTTCCATGGAGGTTATGTTTTCGTTTTGATTGTTTGTCTGTTTATGCAAAAACTATTGGACGGTAGGAGTGCAACGGTACACAAAAACCACGATTTGTTAAATTTTTCTTTAATTATCTATATTACATGGCGAGAAAGGGTGTTAGCCTTGTTGCAGGTATGCGCTATAAATATTTTTTCCTAAAGTGTGTATATATATAATTACATTCTACTCTTCCTCTGTCCCTCATAGGAGATGTGCACTGTAGATGAGCCTAATGAGGAATTCACCTCCAGACACAGTTTAGAGTGGAAATTTCTCTTCTTGGACCACAGGTACAGTTTTTCAGTCTATTTGTCAATTTCTTCATTTCAGTGTGTTTCTCATCAAGTGAAGGTGTATTTTAATTCATATAATTAAGGATATTTAACACCTAACCTGTTTGGTCAAACTCTGAATAAACACCCAGACTAAAAGCACCTGAAAAGGAGAGGGTGTTGTTCTGCTTCCATTCTGGTTTGTTAGTCATGTAAAAGAAGAACACATCAATGTGACTCTCACAACACTGTGAGAGTAGACAAATATTTTCCATAAATTCAGTAGTTCCATTGCCATTAAATCTATCTAGTGATTGTGAAATATCACACAAGCTATTTCCAGTCTGTATAAGCTGTTGTGAAGATCCAACATTGTTTTGTTACCATGGTAACATGTATGCGTGTCAGAACGTGACTGTTGGATTCTCCGTTAAACCAGTGTTGTTTTTGGCTTTTGTCGTACTTTGTGTTTTGTAGCAGTAAATCAAACCAAATTGTAACTATCCCCATGATATTTCAGTACAATTCTAGTAGCAGTGTTACTAATGCTCATTAGTCTCTTACTTCTACAGGAGCACATTGTGACTCCAGAGACCATAAATAAACTTGTTATGCAGAAAAACTTGCTGCCAGTCACCTGAATTACATTTTATCACGTGAGTCCATGTAGAGCTGCAGATGCAGGATCACGTCAGCAAAACTGCCCAATCAGTAATGAGTAATCTGAAAGTCATGATTCCTCCTCCTGTTTCACTTCTAACAAGAACCTCCACATAATTGAAAGTCCTCTTCTTCTTTTTCGTCTTCTTCTTCGTCTTCTTCTTCATATTCTTCTTCATCTTCTTCACATTCTTCTTCATCCTCTTATTTTTGTCATCTTCTTATTGTTGTTGTCCTCTCCTCCTCCTTGTCTTCTTCTTTGTTGTCATCTTTTCTTTGACTTGGCATCTTCATCTTCTTTTCTCGCTCAACATTGTATGTTCTTTTCTTCTTCAACATTGTATTCTCATCTTCTTTTCTTCTTCCTCACCATCATATCTTCTTCTTTCCATTAATCAAAGCTCATCATGTGGCACAGAAGGTCACACCCTCTAATAGTGGGGTTAGTGGAATGAAGTCACATGCAAATAAATGATCCTAGATCACATGATGCTCTGACTGTTTTTAATTTAGGTCAGCCAGAGGAGCTCTTACAGTAGGAGAATAGGAAAAATCTTGTTTTTTTTTCTGCTGTGGATACTTAATTATAATTAGCTCCAAAGTGGCTCATGTACAGTACAGTATGTGTAATCTAACAGAAGAAGGAAGCCTGCAGATCTCAGTAACATTTAACATAACATTTACTTGTCCAGAGCTCCACCCATCATAGGTTACCTCCCGTTTGAGGTCCTGGGTACATCAGGGTATGACTACTACCATGTAGATGACCTGGAGACACTGGCCAAGTGCCATGAACACTGTAAGTATACCTCTCTTAGTCCACTATAAAGCAAGCAGATTTACATTTTTCATTTTCTTTTTGAGTTTTCAAACACTAAATAACATCCAGCTTTTACTCCTGGTTTCTCTGTAGTAATGCAATACGGCAAAGGAAAGTCCTGCTACTACAGATTCCTCACAAAAGGGCAGCAGTGGATTTGGCTTCAGACTCACTACTACATAACCTACCACCAGTGGAACTCCAGACCAGAGTTTATTGTCTGCACACACACTGTTGTAAGGTACATGGAAGATTTACTCTGATATCTACACTCATGAATACAAAATTAAAGAAAATGCACTCATGTCACATCTCTCACTGTTATCAAGATGTTATATACGTATATATTTTCACTGTCCGTGTAGTTATGCTGAAGTAAGAGCAGAACAGCGCAGAGAACTTGGAATTGAAGAATCTCCACCGGAGTTTACAGCAGATAAGGTGAGACTTTTGTTCCATTTTTTATGTTTGTCTTTCAAGGGCACAGCTCCAGTTTTCCTTCACTGATATTAACGATAGAAACTCTACCTCTTCTCACAGCAGTCCCAGGTTTCAGGCTCCGAGTCCCAGCTCAACACTTCCAGTCTGAAGGAGGTTTTGGAGCGCTTCGACCATAGCCGGACGCCCTCGCTCTCATCTCGCAGCTCACGCAAATCATCACACACCGCTGTGTCTGAGCCAGTCTGTAAGCACCATTAATAAACATCAAATTTCCATCAAGCAATGTGAAAACCCAACATCTCACGACTGTCACCATGTCAAATTAAGTGATCTTTAAAAAAAATCTGAGCATGATGTCTTACCCTCAGCATCACAGATGAAGCTGCAGGGGGATAGGAGTACACCAGGTCGCCAATCTGTCTCTGCCATGGAGATGACATCACCACGAAGATCATCTATCAGCAGTCAGGTTGGTGGAACAAGAACAGTTTGGTGTAACATTTCTTGATAACTGTCCTGGGTCATGAGAGTTGAAGCAGCCTGATCTCTCTGCACCTTATCCTGATTTTTCTGTGGTGTCTGTGTTGTTTCTATCAGCATTCGATGAGCTCCCAAAATACTGGACAGAACATGACTCCATCCATGGTTTCTCAACAACAACAACAACAACAACAACAACAGCAGCTGCAGCAGCAACAACAACAACAACAACAACAACAGCAGCAGCAACAACAGCAGCAGCAACAGCAGCAGCAGCAACAGCAGCAGCAGCAACAGCAGCAGCAGCAGCAGCAGCAACAGCAGCCTCAACAGCAACCAGTTCAGAACAATGTACAAGTAAGAGATTAATTATGTTTTATCATTTTTATCTTGTATTACTCACCCAGGGTGATTCTGTATGGAGTTTGGATGTTCTCCCTGTGTCTGCGTGGGATTTTTCTTTGGGTACTCCAGCTTCCTCCCACAGTCCAAACAGATGCAAATTGGTCAAATAGGTTCACAACAAAAGGAAAATGTGAATTAGGTTGGGGTGGTGTCTGTCGCATGTTAGGAATGTCATCAACAGTGCTAGTAGTGAATTCTTCGGACATTATCTTGCTGTTTTCACTTGAACATTTTTTGGGGGGCTTCTAGAAGGCACTGCCGAGAATGTCTGGAGCAGCTGACTCAGACACTTGCGTCCTTAAAAGTGCCATTTTGTATGAAATCTTTATATCATGCACCACATTGTACGTTCACACATGAACCGCTTTAGTGACTGCTTCCTGTCATGTTTCCATGTCATTGCTTTTTGACAGTCAATGGTGCAGTTCTCCAGCCAGTTAGAAACCATGCATCACCTGAAAGAGCAGTTGGAGCAGAGGACCAGGATGATTGAGTCCAACATTCAGCGGCAGCAGGATGAGCTGCGGGAGATTCAGGAGGAGCTGCAGAGGGTGCAGGGACAGAGCCTGCAGGTGAGACTGAAAAGCTGCTCAGGAGCGAACATACAGCTCAGTGAATATATCACTGCTTTGTGCATTTTGTTATTTTCATTTTATTAGCTGTTGGATCTGATGCTTTGGGAGTCTGAATGCATGCTGTATGTTTCAGATGTTCTTTCAGAAAGGAGCTGGAGGACTGAATCTTGGCTCTGTTCAGATGGCCCAGGGGAACACTTTGCAGCAGGGGGGGATGCTCAGCATGCATGGCCAAGTGGTCTCTGCTGGGCCTTTACAGAACAACATAAAGCAACAACATGCCATCCAGCCCCAGTCCCAGCAACAAACACTCCTGCGGGAACAGAGCTCAGCACTCTCTCAGGTCAGACAAACTGACTGCTGTTCATTAAACACATGAAACTCAGCCTCTTGCTGACACATGCTACACACACACCTTGTCACTGACTCTGGTTCTGTCTATTTCAGTCTCAGCGGTCATCTCTCACCCTGCAGCCTCAACAGAATCCTCTGCCTGTGTCTCTCTATAACACAATGATGATCCCTCAACAAAGCCCTGCTAATGTTGTCCAGATTGCTACCAGCCTGGCACAGAACACTGGACCCAACACTCCTGCAGTGGCAACATTTGCACAGGACCGTGCTGCTCAGATAAGGTTCACATTTTTGATTTTATATTATTGTATTATGGTTACAATTTCCAGAATTCATTCAGTAGAGTAACTTTAAGTGTCTCTCTATTGCAGTTCTATTGTGCAAGCGTTAACAAAGAAATCTGACCTAATTTCTACATGTTTTTGTTAGTACTACCTGACCTTCACTCACTTCCTGTCCCTCACAGGTTTCCTGCTGCTCCTCAGCTACTCACCAAGCTAGTGACAGGACAGATGGCATGTGGGGCAGTCATGGTCCCCACAACCATGTTTATGGGCCAAGTGGTGACGGCCTTCGCCCCTCAGCAGGGCCAGACGCAGACCATCAGCATCTCCCAGCAGCCTCCACCACAGCAGCAGCAGCAACAGCAGCAGCAGCAGCAGCAACAGCAGCAACAGCAGCAGCAGGAACAGCAGGTACAGCCGCAGTCACAGGTCACAGCCATGCAGCCTGGGCAGGCTCCACTGGCCCAACAGCAAACACAGTTCCTACAGGTAACACTCACAGGGAAATGAAGAGTTACACTGCACCAGGTAACTTTGGTAGTTTCAATGCTGTGCTGTCAAAGCTTTAACCACTTGTGTGGAGTTAGCTGTTCATGTGACCATCTATAATTTCAGCATGTGTTCACAGGGTTGCAATCTATTTACTAAATACCATAATTCCATTTGGTGAAATGGAAAGTATGCATGTGATGTACATTAGAGTAACAAACACACAGTAATCAGCATCAGTTGTCATTCATTTACATGGAAAAAACCCATTGAATGTTGAATACAATAGACAAATGGATCTAAAAGGAAAATTTTACTGTCAACTAGCAGTGTTAGTAGCTAGCTGTCCTGTGATGTTTAGTCAAGTGAAAATCGTTTTTGTGCAGTGGCTTAGAGGTTGTATCCTTGGTAAAAAAAATTGGTGTCATTCCAGATCCTCTACAAATTAAAAAAAAACAAACATCATTTCAGATACCAAAACTCAAAGTTGCCTGGTGTAGTTTTAATATAAATCTGGGCTCAGCTGGCGAAAGTTTATCCTAAAATTCAGCTAAAATCACGTTTTGTCACTAAAGGCTTCCCGACTTCTTCATGGAAACCAGTCCACCCAGTTGATCCTGCAGGCTGCGTTCCCTTTGCAGCAGCAAGGAACCTTTGCTGCCGCAACCCAGCAGCAGCAACAACAGTTACAGCATCAACAACAGCTACAGCATCAACAGCAGCAACAGCAGAAGCAGTTACAACAGCAGAAACAGCAACTGGCTCCTCACAGAGCAGATAGTTTGTCTGACCGCTCCACTACGCAGCCACAGTAGCTGGCTACAGCCAATCAGAAGTGGATTGGGACAAAAATCAAGGTGGGGGTGTTTTTGTGATGGCAGTCTCAAGAGGGGTTCTGCTGAAAGTGCAACCCTGAGACCATGCCTCATTTGTAAGTGACTGGGTGGGCAGACTGAGGCTTCCCTCCCTCACAAGGATTGTTTGCTGTTTGCACTGATCTCCTGGGCACAAAGTGCTACCAAGAAGAGAACTCAGGACTGTGCTAGCTGCGGCTCTGGCAGTTTGCTTTGTCTCTGGTTTGAAGCCTTTTCTCCAAGAAAACGGGGAGCCATGTTTTCCTGTATTGGACGTCCCCCTGTACCCCTCCCCCAGCCCTCTTGTTGTGTGTTTATTGCGTGTGTGTATGTGGGTATGTGTTTGCGGGAGCTTGTGTGTGCGTGCACTCTAGTCACCCTCACAGGATTATTTTATGCAGAGCTCACCAGTTAATGCAGTGAAGCTTCAATCAGAGCTTCAAGGACGTCCTTCTAAACAGCCCACGGCTTGTTTGTTTTGGATGTTTTCTCCTATTCTTGTTCTTTGTGTAAAAATAATTATGGGTCAGAAAATATTTTTAAGAATGTGTTGTAGACTGAACTTTTACTGTACAGAACATCATGTGTAATATATACTGTAAATATATTGAAAAAGAAAGAACTAATATTTTATATGATGCATGAAATGAAATGCATAGTCTGTTATTTACAGCTTTGAATATGCTTTTTTTCTAGTCCTCAGAAAAAAAGATCTTAAATGCTCAGTGGCTGATATTTTCACAGGCTTCCTTTCTCCTAGGGGATGTGTTTGTTTGTGTGTCTGCATAGCAGACAGTGTTGATGCTGCTTGTTGTGTCACAGTTTGTTTAATCCTTGACCCATATTTTCACACAATTTCATAAAACTGTCAAAAGTGATACACGTTTCAAAATTCAGCTTGATACACACATTGTGAATGAAATAAATGCTACCAAGGTCAAGCTAAACATGCAACAGTAAGATTGCCAGCCTAATACTTCATATATATTTATCTATTTAAATTTTAGCACTTCTGCCATCCAATGTGACTTTGTAGATTTTTTTCATTTTATATCTTAAATATTTACTGACAAGCCTGAAAATGAAGGCAATGAAAAAATCAAAATTCAGCATGAGAAACACATTGTGAATGAAATAAATGCTACCAAGGTCAAGCTAAACATGCAACAGTAAGATTGCCAGCCTAATACTTCATATATATTTATCTATTTAAATTTTAGCACTTCTGCCATCCAAAGTTCCTTTATGGTATCTAAAGACACTTAATCCAGTTTATTAACATTTATCCCTTAAAATAAACTTCAGATTTGCAGTCAGTCCTGTTAACCTGTTGCTATATGCTCACAATGAGCTTGGGCTATATGATTTGTGCCAGCGTAGGGTAAATCATTTATTTCACATTAGCACGCTGATCATCCATCCATTCTTTTTTAGCTATTTATCGGAGTCAGCAGGGGACACAGAGCAGCGCCCCCTGTGCCAACAGTGAGATGGCCCCAAACCACCTTACTAGCTCAAATACTGTTAATCTGTGGTGTTTGACTGCCAGTGTAGGTTTGCAAAGCCAGGGGCAACACCTGAAAACACACTGTAGTCTGCCATTGTTCATGTTGTGTTCAAGTCGGGGCAAGTGTTGCTGGGAAATAAGAGACGTAGACAATGACTTCTACAGTGATGTAATAATGTGGCTCCAAGCCGTCTCTAGCCAATGGAAAAGCAAACTGGTTCTTAAAAGGTTTACAAGTTGAACTAGCTCCGAAGTAGCACCAGCCCAGCATTAGTGCTCAGTTCACTTTGGTGGAAAATTGGTTTTGGAGAAACAGGAGCTCGACGCAGTAGTCCAGTCTGAGCTCCATGCAGTATAATAAAGAGAGATAGGCCGGTCACCCTGCAGGGATCTCATAACGTTTTAAGTTCCTATAGAAAACTCAATAGTGATCAGTGTCCTCTTTAAAACATCCTGTAAACACATAAGCTCTATATCTGTCATCTGGCCACCTGATGGTTGTAAATCCACCATTCAGTCTCTTTTAGCTCTGTTTTTGGTCTCCCCCGACCCCTGAGGGAAATATCGGACTCTGTAGCTGCTAAAGGCTCCACTCTGTTCACCAGCTAGTCGCTAAGTCGGATCAGCAGTTGTCTGGTGCGGCAGAAACGGCACATTTAGAACAGTAAGATTGAGCTAAAACTGCTTTAAAATATACTTAAAACTTCAGTATACACTAATGTTATGTCTTATTGGCTCATTTTATGACAATTTAACCTAGGTACACAGTGCTAGTACACACACACACGCCTCCTTATACCATCTGATCTAATTCACCACCAGATGGTATGAAGCTGACAGCTCAGCCCATTCTTCATCTGTGTGTGAAGTGACTGAGCTCGACACACGGCCACAAGTCTGGTGAAAAACATACAATGTACATTTTTCGAGCTTTGACCCGAGGTATCTGGTGATACCCCGTGCACTTTGTCTGTTCACCTCTGTATGTTTGGCTGGAGTGTTCTTGTGTGGGAAATTCCTGTCTGACATAGAAGTTCACAATAATTCATCCACTGTGCAGCAATGTACCGTAGAAGTCATGTTTGGTTTTGGCCTGGCTTTGAGTAGCGGTGGAAAAATGCTAATAATAACCCTCTTTGTGGCTAACTGCTTGGGGATACAGCCTTGGACCCAAGAGGTGGACCACACATACCAACACACACCAACACACACACAGAGCTGAGGGAAGTTAATTCAAACAAATGCAACATTTGGGAGAATACCAGCTGCTCTGTTTTTTAACCAAGAGCCTCCAAAAGAACAGTTACCAGCAGTGTCGGTGAACGAGCCGACACTCGTCATACCTTAACTTCACTCATGAGTAGCATCACAATAAACATGTGATAACATTATAACGTAGAATAAAGTGACTCTAATGAAAACTGCTCTTTCTTGAGACGATGTTCAGTCCCCCCCACTAAGAACAATAGTCCATGTCACTGTTGTTTCATACACTCCCTGAAGCCTGCTGTCTCCGCTGTAGTTGGACCTTGTGGTCTGGACCATCTTCACAGTCTCTACCCCATCCTTCCCTCGTCATCAGTTGTTGTGCTGCAGCTCATTTCAGTATTTTAATAAAACACATTAGTTAACTGCTAAACACAATTTCACAAAGCTGCACAGGGGACCTGGTTTCTCTGGAGAGAGATTCACGAGGTGCAATAAACCTGCAAGAATGTAATTAAATGTCATTTACATGAGTGTGTTGCATGAGGTGTGTGGCTGCGGGAGCCTTTGCACAATGTATGAGAGGACAGAGTAAATAAGAGAAGTAAATTATTTTGCCTTTAAATGTGCAAACTTTAACTGAAACAAATCAATGGATTAACAAGAGATGAAGGATCTAAGCCAACTGTGACATACACATAAAGACTGTTGAACTTTTTTTCCCCAGAAAAGAGCTTGTAACGTGGTTAAACGAAGAAGAGCCCAACCGATGTGGACTTTTGGAGACTGCTTCAGATATTCAGTAAAATAATCTGATCTTGATAGGCTGATGATTGGCTGATGTACATATATATGTATATATATATTTTTATTTTCACTTGGCATTGATACCTATGGTATCGATATGAAGTCCTTATGACAAAGAAATGTAATTGTGGCTTGATATTTTACAGTTTAACTATAAAGTAGTTAGTAGTAACTATAAAGTAAATCAAAAATATATAGAACTTGAATTCTGAAACTAAACCTATATTTTTTACGTCAAATTTAATTTGAAAAAATTGAAAGAAATTCATCAGCCAACAACTGCAAATACCAATATATCTGTGAAAGGCTCATTATGGCCAACGAACATATCGGTCGGGCTCTAATACAAAGACTGTTAGATTTAAAGGTTGTTTTCTCTTTTCATGATCATGTTCAGTCTTTACCTGCCTGTCTGGTTCTGTTCCGTCATGCTGGAATACAGGTGGAAAAACTGACACATTTCAAAAGAAAAAGCTTGTTTGACATATTTGTTTTTTTTTGGCTTTCAAAGTTATCAGTCAGTGGTTACCAGTCATAGACACATGAGGGAAAATGTTTTGTTATCCAAAGAGCGGGGCACTCCAGAGGATGAGCCCTAAACGAAAGGGCACGATGAATTCTGTTCAGTGTTGTGTAGTTCTGATGTACACACTAGAAGCTCTTGTGTCTCTGTGTTTTCTCTGCTTTCACTTCACATTTGTGTAGCGTTTCGGTTTGGCTCAGGAAATTTACTGCTGCAGTCCACTCAGCGACAAAAATCACCTGACATTTCTAAAAGGTTAATGTGCTCTGAATCCTGCAGCTTTGTGTCACAGCAGCTGTTTGGCCTTTCCCAGGTGATGGTGAACACCTGCTCTGACATCACTGACTCGGCTGCGGCCAGAAGTAAAACGATTCATGGTTTCAGCTCAGCTGACACAGCGACGTACTGATCGAAAGGTTCGATGCTACTTTCTAGTGATGGTTTGTTCGATATGACCAAAGGTTTTATTTACTTTGATCAATAAAGAACAACTACATGCAGCCTTGAACTAGTTAGACCATATTACCTATATTGACATTGACATTTTTTAGATTAAGAATATAAGTTGATCTGGTCAAAAATCCTTTTATTAACCATTTATAATATCAGTGCCAGAATTGCTGCATTAAAATACTCTATTGATATATAAGCAAAATTATCAATTTAAACTATTTTCTGTGTTTTAATGTCAACAGATCCGTGGTTACCAGCATTTTAACTACATCAATACAGAATTGACAATCATAACTATCTTCATTTATTACTCTGACACTTCTCAATAATTTTTTTCCAAAACTGAAGTTAGTGTCTTGTTTTATCTAACCAACTGTCCAAAAACCTAAAAAAAGAATAAAGTAAAAGGTGTGCAACATAAAGCTTAGCCCTTGAAATGTATATAGAAAAAATATATAGACCATTTCCTTTTACAGCGCTTATAAATAAAAACTTGCTCTTTTATTGTTGTGAACATTTTAACTGAGATTCGGCCCCAGAACATATTTTCTCTCCAGATCCACTACTGCCACCTGCTGTTCAATTTGAGGTTAAACATCCTTAGACCTCAAACATTATTCCTTCAACATCAAATAATCTGTGTATTTGTCATCCTCCATTCTCTGTTGCTCAGTAATAGCTCAGTGTTTGGTCTGCATGTGTGCTGCGCTGCATTTATTTCTTGAGCCACACCGTCCAGAAATTCAACACAACCTTCTGAGGCAGATGTATCAACCGTTTGCTCCCCTTCAACCTGAAATAAATCTGTATAATATGTCTCCGTGTTCTGTTTCCTCTACTGTCTTTTCAGCACACGTCTGTTGGCAACCATCTCACATACAGAACAAATGACTGGTTTAGACAGAAGACAAGACATGAAACATTTTTATTGAGAGAAATTTTCAGATTACAACCAACCTGTCTCACAAACAGACGGATTTCACAGCCGGGCACAGCCTGTCAAATATTGACAACACAGCTTTGGCCTGTTCAGTTAAAAAAATAATTCCATCCCTTGTTTCTCTTGACCTCTGTCCCACCCTGTTCTCTGTCTACAGTACATACGCTAAAAGAAAATGAAGCTAAATAAACACAGAGCATTTAAATAAAAGCGAAACAGAGTTTTATTACACTGCTGGTTGAGGTGTCGCTGTAGCTACAACACAGCTGCTTATGGCTGAAGGGGGTAAACAAATGGGGACAAATGACATGGTGGTGTCACTTTTGTACAACGTTTCATCAGTGACTTTAACTGTTCTCGGACAAGAACTCTGGAGAATGTCAGCATGGGTCCAGACTTTATACAGAGTTTTCCTGTCTCTCATGAGCAACACAGTAATCTCTGGAGCGTTCAGGTGTTATTACAGTCTCATGGGCTCACTCAGACATTTTCTGGGGTTTTAACAAGGGGGCTGGCAGGAGGAACCCAGAGAAAGTCAGGAGCCTCTCACTGGAGAATGTCAGGAGATTATCCGGAGTGTAGTCCATGTTTAAAAGCAGCTTTAGTGATTCAGGGCAGTAACAACTGAAGCACCAAGTTGTTTATGAAAATGGATCTTTGAGATTTAACCTGTGAAGCTGATTCCTGACCGATCATCAACATGATCTGTGCTCTTTAAGCTGTGGGTAACTGATCCCTTTCACATCTAGAATAACATCTGTCCTGAAGAGTCCATACATTTGATTGTGGCCACACACTCAACACTGAGCACCACAATCATGACTGATGCTTTTTTGAAATGACTAAAATCTCACTGAGTCATCCAGCTACTCCTGACTCCACCCACTCTGTCGCGCACGCACACAAGTAAAAACATAATTTGGTTCTTTGAAACAGAAATGACTTATGTGAGTATTCGCATATTGACCGGGGAAGTAAGATCCGACCAGGTGGTCACGGGAGACACATTCAGGACAGATGTTGATACCAGGTGTGGACCAAAATGAAAACCCCTGATCAATATCTCCAATATGTGATCAGCCTTTTGCTGTGGAGTAGCTCTCTGGATACTGTAAGTATGGCGACACCTGAACGTAGAGGTATTCTAGTGGTTCAGGACTCTAAAATAACTGCTTCGTGGTATCAGCAGCAAAAGGGAATAACTCGGAAATATTTCAATGATGTCTCTGTCTCAACTTAAATTGTACCGCAGCTTCAGTGGATTCTAATAAAAAGTGTCTCCGAGGGGGGAAGGTGGAATAAACACCAGCATCTGGGCTCATGTTAAACAGACAAAAACAAACATGCAACATTAATAAACAAGGAAAAAGGCAATGACTTTGAACTGGACTTACTGTCTGAAGTAGATGGCTGATGATAGAAAAGTACTGCATGTCGGGCTCTGACTGAGCCACACATCCTCTAACAGATGGGTTGGAGGGCAGCGAGTGTTCTTCTTCCTCACACACACTTTGTGAAGAGAACACAGCTCGAACAGAAAGCCACAGCACTGCCTCCTCTCCTCTCGTGCATCTGATCAACCGATGTCTGTTGCTCAATGTTTTCTCCTCATTGAGGCTTCTGTTCTAAATAAAATGTGCCTCTGCACTTCATAATGATAAAACTTATTAAGTATTCAACAACTCCCAAAAGGTTTTGGTGATGAAAATCTTATTTAATACTAAATGTAACCTCTATAAGAAACCACTCACAGTTACAGGCTGTAGTGTAGTGGAACAACGGAGCTGTCTAAAGGAAGGAGGACGGGACTTTGGCTTTCTGTTCAACTTGTCACAAGGTCTGTTGGACACAAACAGACACACACAGACACACAATCTCTCAACAGCAAGTGAACCAAACTTTACACGTATATACAGAGTGAACCTGAAAAGTCTTTCGTCCAATCAAAATCCAGACTCTGGCTTGATGAGTAGGGCAGAGAAGGCGAACGCCAGAAAAACAATTCCTCCAATGATTGTAACTGTGGAAACAAAACAAATTCAGTTATCATTGATGTCTTCTAATCAGCAAAACTACCAATGTAACCTAAACCTAAGATTTAGCACGTTAGGACACTCATTCAACAACTGTGTTCCTCTTTCTTACACTGAATATATACCAGACTCTCTGTGTGTGTGCGTGTGTGTGTGTGTGCGTGTGTGTGCGTGTGTGTGTGTGTGTGTGTGTGTGGTCCAGGTATTACTCATGTTGTGGGGACCTAAATCTGTTTACAGTCACGCTATGGGGACTCATCCTGTAAAATGTAAGTTATTATGTAAAACATTAAATTCTGAGGGGACAAGACATGTTTTAGACAAGTAATAACTAAGGTTAAGGTTAAATCAATGTAAGTCAATGATGTGTCCTCTGAAGTGTGTGCATGTCTCTTGGAAAGAGAGTAAACATAAGACGAGCCAACACATTTATAAAATAAACAAAAGTACTCATTTGTATAGTAATGACAACAGTCAAATATTGATTATTTTTTCATGTTTGAATTAAACTCTTTCTCACATTAGTTTTTATTTGACCTGGTACAAATACTTTTCAAAAATGTACCATGACACTGCAAGTATTTTACACTCACTTGTGGTCTGAGGCTGAACAACTCTGTTCTTGCCTACTCACACTTTGGAAATATATATATATATATATATATAAATCTGCCTGTACTCACTGTGTCAAAGCAGCTAGCTTATAATAAGCGGACTGTATGGTTTAATGGTGTAATGACAACAGGATATGAAACATGTGCTTTAAAAACAACACAGCAACGTACCTGTTCTGACGGATATTTTCTGGGCGATCATTCTCCCTCCTATCACAGCCAGTCCTGTACACAAACAGTGTCCCAGTGTACCACCCACAGCAACTCCAAAAGGATCCTGGGAAGAGTGCATTTCATGTTGATGTGAAAGAGAGTTACACTTAATTATCAGTGTATTAACACAGCACAATGGGATTTGTGGTGTAGTTAAAAATGAACAAACTTTATTTCCCACTGGGGCCACAACATGTAGACACTTGACACATTGCAACATTTTATTTTTAAGTAAAACGTGTGTAGGGCTGCAACTGACGATTATTTTGATAATAGACAATGTGTCCAATCATTTTTTCGATTAATCGATTAATAAAGCTGTAACAAACCTCCCGTGCAGCGAGAATAATGGTGGTCAGCTGGGAGCGGTCCCCCCACTCTGCAAGGAAGGTAAGGGTGAGTGCTTGGATGAAGATGGGTGAGATGAAGCTGTGCCACTTTCTCTGAGGCAGCGTTGTCCCTGATCCAGCCTCCACATCTGCAGTCCCATTGGTCAGTTTAGATCGCTGCAGCTGAGCAGACAAAGACAATGTGATTCTACTGAAACACTGGACGATGATTCCCCCTCATCAGGAGATGTTAGACCCAACAAATTGATGATTCAATTCTTGTGAACTATTTTTATCATCAATTTTAACCTTTTAAATCAGTTAATTTTTCCAACCCTAACTGCTTCACCAGTCTATTGAGATAGGGGAATATTTTTCATAACTGTCACTGCCACACAGGACTCGGGGTTGACATACTCCACAGGAGACTATTTTAGATTGGATGAGCACTATGACTAGTCATCTTTCACTGTACAGTACTATACACATGTGCTTCAACACTAGCACTTCTTTCATCAATTGATATGGAGCCATTTCACATAAGTAAAAAGGTAGAGTCCACCTATAACAGGTAGGATTCTCAAAATAATTCACTTGAATTCATAACAGCTCTACTTGATATGATAAAAACAACATCCACCCATGCAGATAAAGGCTTCCAATCTTGTTCCACTTAGAAACCTGCAGCTGAGCTGCTCACAAAAACAAATGTCTGTGTAAAAGTGAGATGAGTGGACAGATGTCGACACTGTGTTACACATCATGCTTCTGATTCCTGAACGGCGACATGCTACATGAAATCACACGTGGCTTGTTTGGTAAATTGTAAACACGCAAAGGGGTTCAGCAATATATCAGGATCTGTGTTTAAATGGGGCTTATACTGTATCTAAAAATGAAGGTGCGACCAGTCAGCAACAGTAGCCAAACTCAGAGATGTATTGTGGCGATTAACATAACTTCAGCATGTTTACTTACATGTACTGACTTTAAGTCAACTAGAGTTGTACAACCTCTGTCCTCCAAGACAAATAGAGCCCACGAGACATGACAGTATTTATTATTATTTCTGCAATTAAAACAATTGTAGGCCAGCATGTCCTGCAGAGTGGCCACTTCTGGCTGTATGCCTGTCAGGTCAACACACATGGAGCTGTTATGTACCATTTCTAACAAATATCATTGCCACGGTCAAGAAGAAAAAGCAGATGCGTAGCGTGCGAGATGAGAGATCTATTGGCGTAAAACTGTGCCCAGTCTGCAGGGACACAGCGGCAGTGATGAAAAAAAGGTCAATCTCGAGCATCATTACAGATGGAAACATGCAGCTTAACTGGATGTAGGACAAATGCTCTTGGATAAAGTTACATGCTCTGTGGGTTAGTTTGTGTGCCCAACGAGCTGCTTTCACAAGTAAACATTCTGACAAAAGATAATATTAAGCAGGCAAGTTTTGTGATGAGCGAGCTAAAAGCTAAAAAGCTGAAACTTCAAGAGGAGGGAGAATTTGCGGAGGAACCTTTTTGCTGCTGCAGAGTTGCAAGAACTGGACACAGTTGTGTGCAAGAACAAATATGACAAAAGCATGCAACTGAATAAGCAGATTACGCAGGTGAGTTCCTTCAGGCATTGTGCAACAGGATTCGGGACATGAAAAGGAACCAAAGCTCTTTGTTAAGATGTTTAATGTGGAAGCAGATGAGGTGTCTGACAACCTGAAATATAAAAAAAGCAACAAGAAGCTCCAACCTGCCTCTGCTCCAGCTCTATAAACTCTGTTTAGGCCCTAAGATGTAGTGCTGTCCGCACCTCTGTTTGGGAAACTACTTCTGGAGGCAGTTCTTTTGAAATTGACTCTCGCAAAAACTGGAAAAACAGCTGCAGGCAGCATCATCATCATCACGACTATCGGACATCAGACTACTTGCCAAAGAGAAGCAGCTCCAGCCATCACTTTAATGAGGTTGGTATGTGACATGTGTTCAATAATTTAGTATGGCTCTCTAAGGACATTATCCAAATTGACCCTTTTCTTGCAAGGTACTGCAAAGTGTTCACAAAAAGTTATGAATGTTGTCGGAGTTGCTACTGACCGACCCAAAGAACTTTACTCACCTCCTCGTCCTTCTTCTTGATCTCTGCCTGCACCTCCTCCAGCTCCTCTTGGCCCTCATCTGGACTCATCTTCAGCCCCTCTCTCAGCATGCGCACACCAAAGATGGCGAACAGAGCCGTGGATACATAGTATGTGTAGATTCTAGGGATGATGGTGGTGGCATAGCCAAACAGCACTGTGGAGAGAAGTGTAGAGTATACTTCATTCTTGCTTGGAGAGGAATCAGTAATTCTAACAAAAGAAAAACAGAAGCAAACATCCACTTCTACTAACCAGAGAGACAAGTCATGACTCCCAGGGCCAGTATCGCGCCTGTCAACACGGTGAGACGGTTGTAACGCATGGCCATGATGGCTGCGATGAAAAATGTCTTGTCTCCCAACTCTGAGACAATGATGACAGAGATAGAGGCCGCGAAGGCGTGAATGAAACCCAGGTTTCCTTTGTGAGAGTCATCCTCTGAAACTACAGGGCCCATTGGATGAGGACTTGGTGCTTTCTGCAGAGAAAATCCACACAGAGTGACAGTCAGCTACAGTCAGTAAATATTTTCACGTGTAGTATTCTTACACTTACAATCATTTAATATTGACCACCTCTAATTGTATTGACTATTTGTAAAGCTTGCTATATACATACTCCTGTACTCCAAGTATCTATCAATCCTG